GCTGCTCTCGAATCTGGGTGGCCAGTTTGGCTTCTGGATGGGTGGCTCGGTGCTGTGCCTCATTGAATTCGGGGAGATCATCATTGACTCCGTGTGGATCAGCATCATCAACCTGGTGGCCTTCATCAGAGGCCTGCGACAGAGACGAACACGAACACAGTCCCCCTACGCCGGCCCGCCGCCCACCGTGGCTGAGCTGGTGGAGGCCCACACCAACTTCGGTTTCCAGCCCGACACGGCAGCCTACCCCATCCCAGGCACCCCGCCCCCCAACTATGATTCCCTGCGTCTGCAGCCACAGGACACCGTGGAGTCCGACGGTGAGGGTGACGCCATCTAGCCCTGCCTGCCCACCCTGGGCAGCTTGTGAACTTGAAGCTGAGAGGCCACAACACTGCCCAGTGCCTCACTGGAGGCTGTCCTCTTCCCAACACAGAGGCCAGCAGTGACTGGCCAGTGCAGACCCAGGACTCTGTGGGGTCAAAATGCTGGTACATCCATTGCAATTGCTGTTAAAAAAAAAAAAAAAAAAAAAAAACAAAGATGGTGGTAGAGAAATTGTGTTCTCACCTGGTTCCTGCCCACACCCCTGCCTGTCCTGACCTTTGGCCTACAATAGTCCCTCTAGCTCAGGAGACCCGGAATACCCTTTCCTGTGACCAGCCACTTCTCTCCCTGTGCTGCGCCCCAGAGATGCACTGGAGTGTGCGCCATGCTGTCTTCCCAGAATAAAGGCCTTCTTCTATGGCCTTGGCTGGCCTCTGGGAACAGACTTGGGGAGGGCAGCGGTGGTGAACAGGGGAAGCATTAGGCATGGGTACCGCCAGGTGGCACATTCTTCATTCTGGAAAATAAAAGTAGAAGCCAGGTGTGGTAGTGCACACCTGTAATCCCAGCACTCAGGAGGCCGAGGTAGGAGGACAGAGTTTTAGGCCAGTTGAAGTATACAGTGAGACCCTGTCAAGGAAGGGAGGGAGGAAGAGAGGAAAGGAGGAACAAAGAGGAGAGGAGAAGGGGGAGAAGAGAGGAATCAAGTGGAGCTTTGTTCTTGTCTCACTGGGTGGTGTAGCCAGAGGGACTAAAAGGGAAGCCATACTGGCTTGAGAGCAAAGGGCCCCAGACAGGTCAAGGGCAGCTCTCGCTTGTGATCCTGGAAATTCCTCTCAAGTTGGTCCTAAAGCAAAAGGTTCCTGGCTTTTCTTTCCTTTTCCTCTCCCTTCCTTGTTACCTCAGCCTCCCGAGTAGCTGGGATTACAGGTGTACACCACCACACCCAGCACCTGATGTCTTTTACATTGACACCCAACGTATTTCTTTGGGTTGCAAGGGCAGACAGAAACTCAAGTGGGCTTAAGCAAACTGGTCTCAAGCAATCCAAATGACTCAGTCTCTCTGCTCCCCAAGGCCACTCCCTTTGCATGGCCTGCCCCCCAGGCTGACACTCATTGGTCCATGACTGGGTCACATGCCTGTCTCTGAAACAATCATTGTAGCCAGCTGGATAGGCTGCTGATATTAGACCCAAAGTCACCTGCCCAGTCCAAAGCCACTTTGGTCCCCTGCAGAATCTAAGACGGGTGGTCCATGGCTGCAGATAAAATTCAGGTCACTCACTTAATTTGAATTTCAGATAGACAATGAATTAATTTTGTAGTATAAGTACATCCATGAAATATTCAGGACATATTCCACTAATAAATCATTGCTTTTCTGAAATTCAAGTTTAAATGAGTGTCCCAGACTTTTATTGCTGAGAATAGCAAACCTAACAGCTCCCAGAGAGACACCAGAGCTGCTCTCAGAGAATGGGATCTGCTGGTGTGAAGAACTGTGGAGCCCTGCAGTTCCAAAGGTGCTCTGGCTTTCCCACCTGGCCTCCAGGGGCCCAGCCCGGGTGGTGGAGACCAGCTGGGCTCTTTGATCTGCCGGGACCAAGCTGGCCTCCGTCAGGTGCCCAGGTGGCACCTGTGGAGGAAGGGCTGCCACCGGGTCAGGGCAGCATGGCAAGAGGCTTAGGTGGGCAGGTGGGGTCTCCCAGCTCCGGGCCCAGCTACTCTGCAAAAGGACCAACACTTGGCGGTTACCGCTCTTACTACTAGGAATTCCGCTTTATTATGAGCAGGGTGACACTCACTGTTACCCTTTGTCATTGTTAAGCGATGGCTACATTGTTTCATGCACTTACTATAGGCCGGCACAATGCCCACTGCTTCATACGTCTCATTTCATTTCATTCTCATAACCAAGGAAAAGTACTATCATCCCATTTTATACTGATGTAAACTGAGGCCTGAGGAGCCAATTACAGTGCCCAAAGTCACTATTCTAGTAAGCGACTGCCATGGTGTGAATGTCTCTCGTGAGGCTCGTGTTCAAACTTAATCCCCAAACTCCATGGCTGCTGGGAGGTAACTGGGAATAAAGTCCTCAGAGTGGGGTCCCCACGATGGCATTAGTGACTTTATAGGAAGAGTAAGCACGCTTGCTGTGTCTTGCTGCGTGATACCCGGACCATGTAATAGTACAGCAGCAAAGTGCTCACCAGACACGGACGACCTTGGACTTCCAGCTCCAGAGCCTTGAACCAAATAAATCTCTGTTCTTTATAAACTGCACACACCGTGGCATTCCATTACAGCAGAAAATGGACTAAGACAGTGAGGAAGCTGAGGGCTGACCTCACCTTCCTGTGCCAGAGGTCACCACACCAGATCTTCCCAGGAGTCCAGCGCTTACACGTCCTCTGCATCGCACCTCACTACCTACACTCCATTCCATGGGAGCTCTCTGAAGCTAAGGAGGGAGTTTGTTCAGTCATAGGAAGCCTGAGAGAGCCAGCATGAGGGCCTCCCAGAGCTGGGGTTTCGGGTTTGATGCTCCCTTCCGTGGACTGTCCTTTCCAAACAGCTCTTCGGCTCACCTTCTCCTGGATCTTCCTTCCATGTCCCAGGGGAAGTTGGAGGATTGAGGCTCAACTTGGATCTGACCAGGTTGCACCTTGTCCTGAGGACACTGAGGATAACCCTGAGAGGGTGTGTGGAAGATGGTCCCTGATAGACTGAAAGAGGCTCTGTTCAGAGACATTTTGGAGCCATCTATGGATGTGTGAGACTGGGATGAGGCTGACAGTGGGCACCATCTTGCCATCCTTGCTCTTGGGAAACACGGAGGGCTAGGTGTGGGACAATGGCCCTGTCACTACAGGCAGGCTCCGAGCCAGGCAGCCAGCATCCCTCTCCCTGATCTATGCCCAAAGTGCCCAGAAAATGACATTCTGTAATTCCCACCTCTACTCCGTAAGAGAAGCTAGGTTACAGAGGTTGGAGGACCCTGAGGCCACTGACCATGAACTCATGTATGTCATTGCCTCCCATTGTGTCTCAATGGCTCTTCAAGTGATCCTGGAAGCAAAGACCTTATCTTGAAAAAGCCTATCTCAAAAAAGGGGCCCGGGGGGGGGGGGGGGGGAGGCTGGTGGAGTGGCTCAAGGTATAGTCTCTGAGTTCAAACCCCAGTGCTGCAAAAGGAAACAAATGATCCTAGAGTTGGACACCATTATGAGTTGCCCCCAGGATGAGGGTCCTGCCACAGGCCTTCCAGGCCATGCACAAGGAAGGCTTTCTGGCACTGGATCAGGAGTGCAGATGTCACAGTCCTTGCCACATGGTAGTTGAGCAACCTCTGCCTTCCAAGGCTGTGGCAAAGCTGCTGTGAGCATCCAGCTGGGCCCCTGGAGGAGTTCAATGCTGATTAATGGCCTGTGAGGGACACCACTGCCATTCCTTGCCAAGAAAATGCCAATTTTAGCAGGGTGTGGTCGTACACACCTATAATCCCAGCACTCAGGAGACAGATGCAGGAGGACCATGAGTTCCAGGTCAGTCTGGGCTGTGACTCAACAAAAAAAATCTTTTTCAGGGCAGCAATCATTCCAGTCCAGGAAATCAGTCCTGACTGGTCAGTGTTCCCAGCTTGCAGTGAATTTGCCCCTGACAATTTCTGGAGACACTTTTGGTTGTTGCAGCTAGGGCTACAAGTAGCACCTAGTGGTGGGCAGTGGCCAGTCTCCCCGTTAAATGCCCTACAAGCATGGGACAGCCTTAAGACAAAGAGCTATTTGACCCATAATGGCAGTAGTGCCAGGCTGAGCAATGCTTGTTCCCTACTTTCCCAGCATCCTTTGCAGCTGGGGTACACTTGTGACCAAGAAATAACCAATGTGGCCTCAGAAGTCAGCAGGGACTGGTAGGGCAACACTGGGCTCTTGCATCTGCCCCTAACACTCGTCTTCCTGCATGCAGGAGTCACACAGGAGCCAGATGCCATGGCCACACACACTAGGTCAAGGTCATGATCACAGAGCAGGGCCTGCTCCTGACTCCATCCAGTCCTAAGTCAGTACCAGGAGACCCCACCCTCTGACTTCTCCTCACTGACAAAAATTAACAGATGATGTTTTCTGTTACTTATAAGCCACTTACCATCTTAACAGGGACAGATGCTGTTGACAGAAGGTGGAGGAAACCCAAATCATCCCGTAGGTTTTAAAAAAGGAAAATGTAAAGGCCCAGATCCTCACATGGCCTGCAAAAGCCCAGATGACCTCGACCCGCTTCCTCACCCTGACTCCCTGTGCCTTCCATGTTGCTCCCTCCTGCAGTTCCCTGGCTGACTATGGACAGCCCCAGTGCTCCCCTCCATATGCACCGCCACCCTGCTCCAGCACTTGCTCCTGACAAACTCCACTGTTTATCTGCTGATCACATCTCCCTCCCACACAGCCAAGCACAGCCCCAGCATGGTCAGCACCGCACCGCGTGCAGGAGGCACCCAAAACCTCACTGGAAAGGGAGAGAAGGAAACCGCCTCTTTCATTTCAGCATTTAGTAACTCCATTTTAAAGATGAGATCATTTAAAACATTATCGGAAAAGTGCTCAGTAATAAATATTTACCTCTCATTTAAAACTTTTTCTTTTTTTTTTTTTTTGGAGACAAGGTTTTACAATGTAGCCCAGGTTGTTGACCTGGAACTCAAGATTCTCCCGCCTTGGCCTCCTGAGTGCTGGGGTTACAGGCGGGGCCACCACACCAGCTTATAACCTTTTCTTGATCATATAAAAGAACCAAGTCTTTTTAGAGCAAACTCTGTCCACTGCTGGTGGATGTGAGAGGGAACTCGATCTGAGAGTCACTGTGGCCACAGACACCAGCCCTATCACTTCAGAGGATGCACGAGGTCAGTAGTTCACAGCTCGCATGGTGGCCACCGTGGCGGCCAGCCGACGCGGCAGGCCTTTGCTGACCTGTCTATAATCCTCGGGCTTAGCCTTCAGGAGCGTCACAATGTTCTGAAGGGTCCGGGAAGGCTGCAGGCCCAGAGCGTCCATCACGTTGATCAGGTAGTCTGCAGGGCAGGAAGAGAAGGACTCAGCAGCATGTGTCACTGAGACCCCAAGGCCTCTCCCAAATAGAAAAGGGAGAAGCCTCCTGAGTCCCCAAGTGTGGGCCCCCACTCGGCTACGTATGGGCAGGATTTACCTGCTTTTCCAACAGGGTCAAACCAGACAGTGGACTTGCCTTGAATCCAGGAATTCTAACTTGATAAAGGACTGGCTGATGTCGCCATCTCCCCACCCACCAGCGCGCGCGCACGCGCACACGCACACAACCCCCCCCCCCAGCACAGTGCAGACAGCTGGCCTCTGTGCCATGACTCCTGAGTTCCTGCTCTGTCCCCAGGGTATCCTCTACCTTACCCCTTAACATGTGGAGAACCCAAAGGGTCAGAAGACTCATGGGCTGGTTTGAGCAACCACCAAAGCCTTCCGGTCCAACTGAGGCAAGGAGCACCTGCGGTGGTGGGTTGGTGGGCCTCAGGTGCAAGTTAATGCAGATTTCTGAGCCCACCCCCACATTAAGTCCACAAGAAGGATCAAGAGAGGATTCTAAGCTCTGTTATTCCAAAAAGCAGACTGGTGACTCTAACCACTGGGCGCAGTGGCTAACTCGGGTGGTACAAGAGGGAGGGAGGACAAATGAGGAGTGGGGGAGGTTGGGCAATGCCTCCAGGCGGTGCCACCAGGGGAAGGGCATGAAAGCACCTGGCACAGGCCCTTGCTCTCCTCTCCTTCCTGGGTGGGTACAACCCAGACTCCAGGGAAGCAGAGCCCCCCAGGACACCCCTAATCCCTCTTCACCCTGGGGACTGTCTCCTCTCTGACTGGACCTGGATCTTCCTTGTGTCTCCTTTTCAAGGCCCAGCTCAGGCCTCCAAGGGTGGCTGCTGTATCCTGGCTGGCTGATTCTGCCCAATCCAGGACTGGCTGTTTCAGGGAAGGGGCACAGGCTGGCAGGCGCCTGCTCATCCATCAACTGACCCTAAAAACTGTGAGCGCCACTCGACTTACATGGGCACTGTAACCTGGGAGCCTATGGTCCGCCATGATGTTTGCTTGGCCAGCCATGCTTGTTGCTGTGTTACTTAACTGCAAGGTCTTCCAAATAGGCCGGCATGGCCACAGACCTCACCACCCTCTATCGCCTTCCACCCTGGCAGCCGCACCTTGCTCCCTCACATCAGAAGTTCAACAAGCAAAAGCAAACAAGCATGTGCATCTTTGTGATGTTCCATCTTCTGGAATTACGGCAGGCCCACAGAAGGTGCTCGATGAATGCAGAATGAGGGGACAAGTGAATGTGGAATCAGCAGGGAGGGAGGTTGCTCCTCTGGCCACTGTTGAGAGCCAGCTAGAATGGATTGGCCTGGGGACTCAGGCAGCAGCCATCACTAATTGCCCTGGAAACCCAGGGCCAGTCCCTCACTTCCAGTTCTTCTGTAGCCCCACAGCCATCCAGTCACAGCTCTGGCTGCATCCCCAGAGAGCTGTTTGTCACCTGACTACCCAGAGCTGCCTTGGGCTCAGAAAAGGCAAGTAATGGAAAGATGCCAGTAGACTGGGCATCCCCAGCCAGCAGCTCCCCTGCACCCTGGGCTCAGCGCAGGGGAGGACATCACTCTGGTAGGGACCATGAAGGGGCCCTCGCTATGTGACCTTGTTATGCAAGAGCACCCACCTCACAGGATTGCATAAGATAATGGGTGCCAGTGCTTGGTTCAGTGCCTGGCATGCTTGGTACGCAGTAAGAGCTTAATAAAAGTTAGTAATTACTATGTCAGTGGAACATGATCGCTCCAACTCAACTCACTGAAGCTCCCTGACTGCAGCCTATCAGACTGCCCACACGTGTTCCAGGCATGAGACTCTCTGGGTAGGACCTGAGGAATCTGCACTTTTAACTAGCTTCGTGGCCAAATCCAACTTGAAATTAGAGACTTGGGATAAGATTCCTGGAGGTACGGGGGGTGGGAGGGTGGGGATGACAGGTGCAAGAGCTGTTCCCCACAACCTGGCCTTAGGCACCCACCGATGTCAGTAGCCAGCTGCTTGGTGGAGTGTGGGGTCAGCTCTGGGATCTGGAGGATCACATCACAGTAGGTCTGCATTGTGGCTCTGGCAATCGAACCCAGCCAGTTGTCAGCCATGTTGTCCAGCTCAGGCAGCTCATCCCCTGGAAGGGAGAGAAGGTCACTAAAGAAACACAGACTGGCTCAGAAAAAGAAAAAGAAAAAAAATCACCTCTCCCAAGTAACTTGGCCTACAGAAGATGCTGTGTGCACAAAACATGCTGGGAGCCCATGGGTCAGTGGGAAGGAGACACTGGAAACTGAGCAATGAGACCTCCTGGCCCCTACAATAGGCCTAAGCAGTCCAAGGAGTCAGAAAAGGAAGCAATCGGGTGAGGACAGGGAACTGATCCTACCTGCAGGCCAGGACTTCTACAAAGAGGGGCAGGGAGTAAGAGAGGGAGATAAGGACAGGAAAGCAGAGTGGCCATGGAGGAGACATAGGTGTCACACTGAAACTGAGACTGGGTCTCCAGGCAACCTGGCCTCTAAGGAGCTGAGTGTCACCCCACCTCTCCAAGACTGCTTGTCATCAGTACCGTGGAGGTGACAAGAGCCCTGGCTTCACAGGGAGGCTGTGGGAACCACATGGGAGGACCTTGGCCTGGGCCTAACCCCCACAAAATGCTTGGCCTGAAGCAGCTGGGTGCTGAAAAGATCATGGGGAGGAAAGAGTGCACACACTCAGGTGAGCAGGAGGCTCACCTGGGGGCACCCGAGAACCTTGTGACCCCGTGTAGGCTGTGACAAAACAAGACTGCTGGTCAGGCTGTGGTAGGGCCAGGTGGGAGGCCAGCAGGAGTGGAAAGAAGGGAAGTGAGGGCAACATTTAAACAAAGCAACAAGTCTGAGTTCGACTGAGAGAAAGAATCCAGGCCCACAGTGAGGCATGAGCCCCTCAGCACCAAGCACCAGTGCCTCCACCCAGCAGTACCACGCCCTTACTCCAGATTCCAACTCCTGCTTCCACATCACACCCCAGCCAGCACTAGGTGACACCACTCAAGAGGACAGTGATAAGGATGCATTTAGACGCTTCCTTCAAATGACTCACACACCCCCAAGGATACTGGTGCTTTTCTGAAGTTCAACATCCTCGTGGGCAAAGGACTTGCAAAGGGTTTAAACCTCTGCTGCAGGTTGTGAGCTGAGAAGTTCCTATAGGCTTGTTCACTGTTTCTTAAAATCTGCAGTATTAAAATGCTAGAACTCACCAGATTACACGTGAATGTTCACTAGATAATTCTCTTTCTTTGTATTTGCTTTTTACTATAGAATTCTTTTCAGTTTTCTGCATTCTCATAAAATGCTGAGAGAGGAAAACAGCCAGGCTGGCTACTGCCGGCACTGTTGCCTTTTCCACCACTGCTGGGCCATCTTAACAATGCTGAGTCCAGGACTGCATGGCATGAGGTGTGCGCAGAGTGGATGCAGGAAACAATGAGGTGCTGACTGTCATCGCATGCCTTTAGCAGGATAAGGACACTCAGCATTCTCCCTGATGTGAGGTAAGACAGTACATATATAAGACACCCTGAGATTCTGGCCAGGGACCTAGGCAGCGTGTAACCCTCATCAGTAAGACATGAGATGAAACACACAAGTGGGACATGAGGTACCTGACTGACATCTGATTTAAACACACTAACAAGGGAGTGAGGAGCAGAGAAATTTTGCCTGTGCAAAATTCCTATCAAAAAAGGTTTACACATTTTGCCAGGCACCAATCAGTGGCCCACGTCTGTAATCCTAGCTACTAGGGAGGTAGAGATCAGGAGGATCATGGTTGGAAGCCAGCCCTAGGCAAATAGTTCAAGAGACCCTATCTTGGAGAAAACTCATCATAGAAAAGGGCTGGTGAAGTGACTCAAGTGGTAGAGCACCTACCTAGCAAGCATGAGGCCCTGAGTTCATACCCCAGTCCCACAAAAAAAGTTTACAATTTTTTAACTTAAAAAGGATATTCAGGGGCTAGGGGTATAGCTCAGAGAGAGACATGTATTTAAGAGTGTGCAAGGACCTCGGTTTGATCCCCAACACCAAAAAATAAAACTAACTAACTAAATATATATAAAGTACATAAGCAAATGGATGAAAACAAAAATCACTACATAAATAACATCACAGCCCTTCAACAGTAATTATCGGCATTCTCATGTATGCTTGTTTTACATGTAATGGAGAAATATATTTATTCTAGCAAAATAAATGCAAGCAATGCAGAAATATAGTGAGTAAAAGTAGCCAGGCGTGGTAGAGCACATCTGTAATCCCACACCTGCAATCCCAGCCACTCAGGAGAATCACGAGTTTGAGGCCAGCTTGGGCAAAGTTAGTGAGACCCATCTCAAAAACAAAAGGTTGAGGGCCTGGCTAAAGTGGCAGAGAGCTTGCCTAGCCAGCTGGAGGTCCTGTATGGGACCGGGGCGCGGGCGGGGGGGGGTGCTGAGGGGGGAGGTGTAGAAGTAAACATCCCACCCAGAGGGGCCCTTGCACCTTACCAGGTATGCATTTTTTTTTCCAGACCTGTTTTTATGCTCTTATGTGCATATTACTTGAAGAAACACATGAGATGTTTTACCCCCAAAACAAATTATTATTTTGCATCTTGTTTTTTTTCTTAACAATGTTTTCGAAGATCTTGCCTATTAAGTACAGAGTTTTAACTCTAAAGAAAACCTATAAATTATGAAAACATCACAAGATATTTAACTATTCCCTTAGCAACAAATTATTTGGGTTGTATTGAATTTTTTGCTGTTATGAACTGCTATAAATTACTGCTGCGATTCTCCAACAAACCTCCTTAGATGCACTTGTGTGAACGCACAGTATGGATTTCTCTAAATGGACTCCCAGAGGAGCTGCTGGGTCCAAAAGTACAGTTTTACTTTGATTCCTGATAAACACAGCCCTCAAACAGCCTTTACCAATTCATCTCCATCAACAGGGTCTCCCTGGCCTGGGCAAGAAGAAGGTCCCTGCAGTGCCCAAGATCCCATGGGCCCCTGCAGGTGCACAAGGCAGCCCTCCCGCCCTGCCCTCCCCTGCTCCTCCCCTGCCCCTCCCCCCAGCCTGCTGTGTGACTTCTTTTGCTTAACAATGTGACCGGGAACCCTCTGTGCCGTTCTGTGCAGGAGCTGCTCATTCACGCCTAAGAGTCATACTACGTCACTGCACAGCTCCACTGCACAGCTCCACGTGTGGCCCTTCACTGATCCTGACAGGGCCACATGGGGCACTTGTGGAAGAGGCTTTGGGACCTACATGGGAGAATAAACCCTGATGGGCCAAAAGGTGAGCACATGGTCACTTTACCACAGTAATATTCCAGGTTACAGTGGCGGGTCTGAGCTCTCTAGTCATTTCTTCTCACATTTCAACTCAAAGCAGTTTTGAAAACAGAATCACACAGCATCTTCTATTTTATAATTGTCTTTTCTACTCAATATGCTGAGAACATCTAAGTTAACTATTCTTTCATAATACTTTAGTGACTACACACCATCTTATTATACAGATACATTAAATATCTTAAATTTATAGCTACGGTTTCTCCTTTTTTCAATGTTTTGCATTAATAAACAATGTTGACTTGATGTAATCATGAATTGCATGATTATTAGCGTGATTATCTAGCAGAATTCCTGATCAAATAGGTGTGCATATCTTCAACACATTTGATCTTATGGCAAATAGCCCTCTAGAAATTCAGTTTGTACCGTTTAAACTGTCTTCCTTTATTTTGACCAATATAAAATGCAATCACTTTAATATAAATGCAGCATCTCTCGTTACCTGGGGGCAATTGGTGCCAGGACCCCTGCAGACACCAAACCTCACGTGTAAGATGACGTGCTTGCACGTAATGCACACACTCCTTCCCACACCCTTGACATCATCTCTGGATTGCTAAGGAAACTGCAAGGTTAACCGTCACTATCCGTATTGCTCAGGGACTACTGACAACGAAAAGAGGCTGCAAGTTCAGTACAGATGCGATGGGTTTTTCCAAGTATTTCTGATCTCTGCTTGGAGGAATCACAGGTGTGTAACCTGCATATGCAGAGGGCTGACTCCATGATGTGCAGTTTGATCGGTTAGAAACAGCACACACTATCTATTTTCATTTGCAGTTATTCAAAGGTCAGTGAAGTTAAATATGCCTTCATGTGTTTTTGAAGTTATATGAATGACTTAATGTCATTTGTTATTTTTCTGTGCGATGTTCATCTTTATCTTACTGACCTTTGGGACCTTTAATAAAGTAAGAGTTTTAACCATCATCAGTCATATGTATTGCTATCTCTTCCATTTATCAATTTCTTTTCTTTTGTTTATTTGCATGAGACAGGGTTTTGCTGTGTAACCCAGGCTGGCCTGAACCCTCCATCCTCCTGCCTTAGTCTCCTGGATGCTGGGATTACAGCAGTGCACCACCATGCCTGGCCACCTTTCAATTTCCTTTTCAGTTTCTATCTTTCATTTCAAAAGGTCTTCTCTTACCTACCGCTGAGGTTGTATTAATTAACATTCATCCATATTCCAGCTTAGCAGTTTTCTCTCTCTCCTGTGCCCTTTTTTTTTTTTTTTGGTGGTACTGGAGTTTGAACTCAGGGTTTTATACTTGCTAGGCAGGTGCTCTACTGCTTGAGCCACACCTCCTGCATATTTCACATCTTAAATCTGCAATGTAAATATTAGCCTTTTAAAAAAAATATGAGTACCCTTCATGTTTATGGTCCTATGCAACTTATGGAAGCTTTTTGTTTGGGAAGTTTTGTTTGTATCATTTTCACAAATGATTTGTGGACATGTGACAGGTGTGCTCTCTGGGAGATAAAAAAGTGTGACGTGTTCACTGAACCAAGCACACTGTTGTCCTGTTCAATTCTTCCCTCATCATTCATTTTTCTTTTTCAGTTGCCAAAACCTGAGCAAGGTTTTCTCCACAGTAACGTGGTTTTTGTCAAATTCTCATTACATGTCTGATGGTTTGTTTATTCCAGTGCAGTGTTACTAGAATATGTGACTATATTACTAGAGGGTCACTGTGGGACCCACCTTTTACCAACATAAAAGAATCACTTTGGTTCCATTTACTATCTTTTGATTTGAATTTGACTTTGTTTAATAGTGATGCAATCACCACTTTCTTTTTACTTGATTTACGTAGGACATCTTTCAGCGTTCCTTCATTTAACCTTTTGAGGTAGTTTTATCTTCTGTGTGGTACTCCTTACGAGCTGCTGAACCTTTGCGTTGTTGTTCTATGGTGCTGGGAATGACAGCCAAGCCCTCACCGCCAAGCTACATCCCAGCAAGCTGCTGAGTCTTTTCTGTACCAAGTGACTTTCTCTTTGTCAGCCTTACAGAGGGGCCTGTAATGCCCAACATTAGGAAATAAGATGCTTTCTGATCAGCAAGCATGTGGTCCCTGTTTAAGCCTGTCAGGCCCAAATAACAAGAAAAAGGACAGCTCTTAGTTCTTTTACTTCTGCCTTGTCAGCTCAGGGATTCCGGAGCCATGGGGAATCAGATGCAAGCCACAGGCAAAGATATCAGGAAGGATATGTGGCCCTATGCGGACAAGCTGGTTACTGCTAACAAGCAAAGCTGTTCTCAGGAGGTGGCACTTTATGTGGCCTAAGGACTCCATGTGAGGGCACAGAAAGAGAGGTAGTGCTCAGTGGGACCCTTGCCCTGGGAGCTCGTTGTCACCACCACCTACTGCCTGGGCCCCTCGATGCTCTTGCCACTGCCTCCCTGCTGGGGTCACTGTGTTCACCACAGGGGTCCCGGCCTTTCACAAGAGCACTGTCTGCGCCCAGTGAAACAAGGAGGATGCTCTCCCCGGTCCACCTGGCCAGACCCCTGCCCTACCCAAGCTTCTCCATGGTGCCTCAGGTGGGCCCCAATCTTTCTGACACCTATTTCAGTGGGAGTTTGGAGAGGTGTGCTTTGACGGGTGGGGGAGTTAACAACACCCCCATATATCCCTGACTGCAAGTGCTCGCCCCGGTCCTCTTACCTTGCTCAGGAGGAAACGGGAGCTTCCCAGCGTGTAAGGCCAGCTCTAAGGCACAGTCCTCCTGAGTCACAAAGGGCTCAAGATTCAGAGGCAGGGACATGATGTACTGCCCAATCTGAAACAAAAGGGACACTGTCAGCCTGGATGCTGACATACAGGAAGACAACACTGCGGACCTGGTCAGCACCAGCACGTGGCGACAGTGGCAGCTTGCGTGAGATCATGGATTCGCCCTTCTCAGCAGCGGGTCCCATATTCTGGAATGCACACAACTCAATCTGCCTCTAATACAGTAACGGGCACCGAGGGGCTTTGTGACACAGAAAGCTGTGTAAGTATGAGTTCGTGCTACTGCCTGTGGGTGAAAAGCCTGTAAGATGCCAAATCAAAAAGTGTGTGGCCCTGCAAGAATTCAAATCCTGTCATCTGGATTTGGACAGGGTTGTCTTCCTTCAAGATGATCTAACTAGGAGAAGGAAGTAGCTTTGCTTGAAAACAGCCATTTATAACTACAAATAATTTGGAGACAAAATTACATTATTTTTAATAATGCAAACTAGAAAATAAAGATTTACAGAAACTTCTCAGCTGGTGGGGAATCACAAAAGGCAAGGCTTAAGACATTTGGGACAATATTTGCTACGCACTGGTCACATGTAGGTGTGATGACATCATGGATACATATTAAAGCACCTATTTCGATTAGAACGCTCGATCATTCTGTATTTTTATGGTAAACATATGTTTTATTTCCATAAGGTTGATTTGCAGTTACAAGGTACATTTTTTGAAAAAGGTCTTTGAAACGGTTGTTCTTCTTTTCTCTGATACTTAATCCCACAAGTTACAAGTGAGAAGACTGCAAAATCAGACCCTCCCAGTCTGGCTTCACGCACACCTACCCATCACAGGTCTCTTCCAGAGAGCGGTTACTATAAACCCCAAGTCTACCCAGCCCAGAGGATGCAGGAGAACTCTACGGGTTTCAAACATTTAACCCAGTCTGCATGTAGAGTGCCAAGAGAGCCAAGAAATGTTATTAATTTGGTCTCCCTCTAAAGAGGTATAATAAATTGAATGGCTTTTTTCTTTCATTTACTTAATACAGTCCTTGAAAGTAAGCAAATGGGCACTTCACTTGTAAACCACCACCACTATGTATTTCAGCTTGAAAATGGCATCAAATTCAAAGGAAACCTCACAGCCTTCTGTTGTTGGAATTTCCCCACTAGAATTCCATTCCACAAGCACCTTCTGAGCACCTACTATGTGCCGTGCAAAGACTCCAGGCATATTCCTTTCATGGTAGCCACACCTTTTGGTTGAACCCATAGAGCCAGTTTTACTTGAAATAAAGCAGCAGCATCACTACACCTGGCACAAATGCTGCTTTTAACTTTCAAAGCATTTTCTCATCTTCCACCTCCTCATGTCCTCACATGGTTCTTGGTGTGTGGGGTGGCGAGGGGAAGTCACCACCCAAGTGAAGTGTCACTGAGGCACTGAACTTCAATGATCTCACACCCCAACATTCCATCAACTGCCCGTAGACTGGGGGACTGAGTGGTTCCCAGGTGGGTTCCCTGGCTCCAGGCTCTCTTGGGAGTCTTGTCTTTAGATCACTATTCTCCCATACTCGGCAGATCATTCTTGATACCCAGTTTGGGTAGTTCCACATGGGGACAATGAAGATTTGTGGTCAGATGGACTTGGCTCCGCCGCTGTGTGACCCTGGGCAAATTAATCTGTTGTAGCCTCAGTTCCATTCCTACACTTACTGCAAACGGCTGCCATGGGGGAGGAATGAACATGGTGCATGTGCACACAACGTGCCCCGGGCCTACCGGAGAGGCCGTGGAGAAGTGGCTGGTGCTTCTTGGTTGCTCTCCATTCTTCAGAGCTTTGGGGTCTGTGAAAGAGACCCCATGTCTGTGAAAGCACTAGACATGACCAAGACCAAGACTGCACGCCACCTCTCGGCACTCCCTCACATACAGGAGACCTGTCCTGAGTCCAGGTCATCAGCCTCCAGCAACGATGACACCTACAACTCAGGAGGCCACATAGGTGCGAAAAGACCTTGACCCAGAGTTTCACCCTAGCCTGCCTTGCTCCACTCCTCTTCGGTGTCTTTGACCTTCAGATCACAATCCCAGGATCATCACTTTCTGACCAATTTAGATTGCCACTCAAATCAAGACAAAATTATCTCAATTATAAAAAATAAGATTGTTCCTTCTGGTTGTAAGACTGGTCCACAGTCCAGGACAGCAGGTAGTGCCCTGGAAAAGAGAGGGCAATGCCTGCCACCACAGACCAGCCACTGCTCTCAATAAACAGAGAGTAGGACATAGCCGTCTTAACTGTACAACTTTTTTTTTTTTTTAGTGGCACTGAAGTTTGAACTCAGGGCCTCACACTTGTTAGGCAGGCGTTCTACCACTTGAGCCACTCCACCAGCTCTGTTTTGTGATGGGTTTTTTAAGATAGGGTCTTATAAACTATCTGTCCAGGCTGGCTTTGAATCGTGATTCCCTGATCTCTGCTTCCTGAGTAGCTAGAATTACAGGAGTGAGCCACTGGCACCCGGCTCAATATTAACTTCTAAAATGCTTTAGTATCTTTTACGATATGGTCATAACTTACACGGGGATTGGTTTCTAAGGGAATACAATACAGCAGAAGCCGCCTAGAGAACCCTAGCTGTCTCCCTTGGTGGGAGGCCCGCGTGGTCTGGGATACACCACTACTATACAGTGTTTCTGTACACGTGACATTTAAGAGCAACTGAGCTGCCTACAGGCAGACTGGGAGGAGAGGCCATGTGCAGACTACCTGAGTGACTACCAATTCCCAGGGGTAACTGGGGAGGGAGAGAGGACTCCATGTGCCTTGCAGGTTCATTCTGCTCTGTTTTAATATCAGACCTCTATAACTACAATTCTTAAAAGCTTTGTTGCTGTGAAGTTGAGTGCAAAAGCACTCAGTTCATAGCAGGGCACATAGTAAATGCTCACTAAACATTTGCTGACACTGACTTCAGAACCACATATGCTCCCTCTGAAAAGTCACAGAGAAGAATGTGGGCACCTGCTTCTTGATTTCTCAACTCCAGTGCCACTACAGGCTGGCCGACCTCATACTGGGAGAGAAGGGAAGCTGTGGACAAGAAGGATGGGTTGTTAAAGAGATTGGCACTATTAAAAAGAAATCCAGTGTTTTGCATCAGGACAACAGGAAAGATACCACGAGGACATCTCGGGAAGTGGCCAGGCCCTACCTGTCACAGGCTGCAAGGTATAAAATTGTAAACTTACTTCAAAGACTTTCCCTAGAAAAGACAGAGCCACTGGGCACGTTGCTCACACAGGGCCATCTACGGAAGTATTTTCTCGGGTTCAGTTGCCTAGGCCCCCCAGAGGCCACTGCAGCACAGTCCAAGGGGGCTCAGACACTACTCAAGCTGGCACCAGGTCTTGGTGTCATCACATGACTGGTTCTGCAGGCATGCAGAATGGAGTCATGGAGGCGTCCACTGAGATTTCAAAGGAAAGCCTGGGAGACTAGGCAATGTGTAGCTGGGTGATGCATGAAGTTGTGAGAACAAAGCTAAGCTGCAATGGAGACCTTGGATGTTGGGGATGCCAGGAACATGGAGCATCTGCCAAGGAAAGTCACAGGCAACAAGTGGAACCAGCCTACGAGAGAGGCCATATGACTGCAAATGGCAAGGGCACAGTGGCAGGGCTGCCCAAGCCCACTGGAGATCAGACCATGACACTGTGTGTCCTGAATGCCAGATATAGAGCTACAGGATTTAGTATTTACCTGCTGGGTTTCGGTTTTGCTTATGTCTGACCCTTCCTTGTTATTTTCCTATTCCTTCCTTTTGGAATGCCAGTGTGTACTCTGTCCCACCGCTGTACATTGGAAACATGTAATTTTCTTTTGTACTTTACAGGAGCTCACAGCTAAAGTGTGTCTTTAGCTTCACAACTTGAACTTCTGAACAATGTTGGAACTGCTGAGACTTTGGGGACTTGAAGATAGACCAAGTGTATTTTGCATTATGAAATGGTCATAAGCCTTTGGAGGCGAGGGGTGGAACGTTATGATTTGAATACAAAATGCTCCCCACAGGTTCACTGGTTGAATACTTGGTCACCAGTTGGTGGCATTATTTTGGCAGGTTCTGGAAAGTTTAGGAAGTAGGACTTAGCTGGAGGAATTAGGTCACGGCGGGGGGGGGGGGGGGGGCAGATCCTAGGGTATTTTGTCCCTAGCTCCTTCCTATCTCCTGCTCTCTGCTTCCTGTCAGCCATGAGGTGAACAGTTCTTATCCGCCACACACTTCTGCTGCCATGTTGTTCTGCCCGGGTGCATGGAACCAAGTGACAATGGACTGAACCCTCTGAAACTGTGAGTTAAAATAAGCTTTCCTCCTTTTATGTTTTTATGTCAGTTATTTTGGTGGCAGTGATGAAACGTAACTAACACTACTACTTTACCTAAAAGGGCCAGAATCAAAAGACAAGGCGAAGCATGACATATGAGGACCACCCTGGAGAGGCACCCAGAAGCTCTTACATTGCTGATGTACTCAAGAGGGGTGAGACTGAAGGCGGGCAGATCACCTGTCAGTGTTTCTCCAATGCCGGCAGTGTTCCACCTCTAGGAAAGGAAGGAAGAACAGGAAACGTTCAATAACACAGCCACTAGGAGCCCCAGAAGGCATCACGTGAAGGTGCATGAACACTGTGGCCATCCCTGTAGGCATCAGCTGTGGTCAGTGCCAGCCTCTGGGATGACCACTCCTCAGCAGGACTTCTCTTCTTCAAATCCCATGAAAGCCTGCCATAGCGACAACAATCATTTCTCTACTCTGTCTGTCTGTCTGTCTCTCTTTGTATTCCTGCAGACTTATAAAGCAGGAATGGCCACCTTCTCAGCCCATTAACTGGGTGGACAACAATCCTTTTTGTTCATCTTGCTAAGGGATGTGAAATGAGAGTCACGTACCCTTTGGTCTGAGTTTCTCTATGTGGTGAGGTCACTGTGCAAAAAGGTTGCTGGATACAGGCAGTCCCACTAACCTTTGCCTTCAGCACTATGAAGAAGATGGGAGTCCCCCCCTCCCCTGTCCCACAAACCTCCTCAGACACCACATGCACACTCCTCAGATAGTAGGAAGGCATAGAAAGCCCCTCTGTTGCAGGAACAGCCCAACCCCCTTCACCAAAGCTGCTTGGCCTCCGTTAAAGCTGCTGCTTTTATTTTCAGCTGCCTTCTGGATCCATCTCTCAACTGACTCAGAGCCCAGAGGAAGGCGAGTGAGTGTCTCCACCCCCACAGCTGCCCTCTGTCTGCTGTATGACCCTCTGTCAGGGGAAGGCCTCCACACAAGCACATGGCTCTGGCCACTTAAAGTGGAGAGGTCTCTGACATCACTACACGGTTTACCTGGTGGTCGTAAGCCAGCATCAGGCCACATGTGCTTCCCGACTTGAGCTTGGTATACCTTCACACGGAAATCTAGCTTCTCCATTCCAACCTGAGCCCTGAGGCCAACCTGGAAAACAAGGCCCTTTCTGGCTGGCCTTTGGGAGTGACTCCTGAGGTCACACTGTAGCTGCTCTCCACAGCCACCTGATGCCTGATCTGGTTGCTTGATCCTTTAAGTAGCATTCCGGGAATGGAATGACAACATCCACCCCCGGGCTCTGGGCTCAGGCTGAGCCTTAGCAGGCCTCCCCATGTCCTAGTGCCAACTTGGCTTGGTAGCATTTTCTTTACTGGAGATGGCTTCTTTTCCTCCCACCCTCACCCTCACCTCTTCAGTTTTCTAGATTCCTTGTTCTTGCTTGAGAATCTCATTTCAAATGCCCTTTTATCTCCTAGGTAACTCCCAATCCACTGGGAAGGAACAATCCATCTACCTATGCTTACTAGTACCCGTGAAGCATAGTGTTTCAGGCTAGGCTTTGTAAAGAGGACACAAACACATATAAGGCTTAGTCCTGAGGAAGCAGGATTCCCAGACACTCCCACCTGTCCACCCCACCCCGCAGCCTGTCCTCTGCCCTCCTCTCCTCCCCGATGGCTGCGCACACACATGCAACTGCCACTGAGACTTCTGTGTCAGTCACTGAGAGTTCAGAGGAGCGAGACCTCAGGGTGATCAGAGACAGGGTCAGCCACAGGTTGCAAGCAGTGCAGAGGCAGAAATGAGGCAGGAAGAAAATGCACAGCTTTGTACAGGAGGCTAGGAAAGGGCACCACCTTCAGCCAATAAACTGCAAGGAGAAAGGGAAGGGGGAGGGGAAGGGAGAGGGGGAAGGGAGCGCTCAGAAGAGACACAAAAGACACAGCAGCCAATCCCACTGTACAGGGTACTGGGTGCTGATTCAAACAGACTACGACACATGTAAGACACTGGAAATCTGAGCACTGGTGGACAACGTCAGGGTGCTTACGCTACTGTGATACAAATTAATTCAGTGTTTCTATTTTGAGGGGCACATACGAAATAGGTTGAGCCAAAGGTGGCCATCAGTGTAGCAGGACGATGAGTGTTTGGCGTGCCTTACACTCTCCTACTTTCCTACAGTGTGAAATTTCCAATAAAAAGGTTTTTGGGGGGTTTTTGGTTGTTATTTTATTTGGTACTAGAGTTTGAACTCCAGATCTTACACTTCTAGGCAAGCACTCCACCCCTTGAGCCAAACGTCCAGTCCTTTCTGCTTTTAGGTTACTTTTCAGATAGGGTCTCATGTTTTTGCCTGGGGGTGGCCTAGGCTGCCACCCACCTACCTACAGCCTCCCTCATAGCTGAGATCATAGGCACATGCTACCACACATAGCTTATTTGTCGAGATGGGGTCTCACAAATGTTTTGCCTGGGCTGGCCTCAACTATCAGTCTTCCCGATCTCCACCTCCTAAGTAGCTGGGATTACAGATATGAGCCTTTGTGCCTAGCCAATTTTTTTTTGCAGTACTGGGTTTGAACTCAAGGCCTCATGCTTGCTACTACTTGAATCATACCCAACCCATAATAAAAAAACTTTTTAAGACTCTCAGGGGAAGACTTTGGATGGAGAGGAACACCATGAGAGCAATGCTTTGTGAAGATGCACACAGCAGCTCTGAGGACTGGGGTGGGGAGACAGAAGAAAGTGCAGTCAATTCAGGGGTGATGAGGATCTGCACTAGGCAGTGGCTATGAAAACAAACAGGAGACACAGAAAAGGAAGGGACAGGAACACCTGGAGGGGCGCTGCTTAAGAAGGGCATAGTAAGGAGCTGGTGCTGACAGGCAGGGGAGCAGAGTGGGGGAGGAACAATGGCCCCAAAGAGAGAAGCACGAAAGCAGCAAGGACTGATGTGGGTGGCAGGACCGGCAGGACCAGCGTCACGGTGGTCCACCCAAGGGACAAGCTGCAGATGGTGGCCTGAGAAAGGCTTCTGAGGCGGCAGGGAGCCATGTGAGACTGTGGTGGGCACTGAAGAGAGGGGAAAGGAGCGGAGGGGAACAGAAGTTTGGAAAAAGGGTGAGACAGAGTGGCATGAATTGGGAGGGGCCTCAAAATAGCAGACAGGAAAGGTGTACTTGAATAGGGCAATAGGGAAACGATGTGGACTATTTCTTAATTGTTCAAGATTTATTTAAACTGTCCTTCAAATGGACTTTTGTATCCATCTGTCACCAGGTGATACAGGCAAGTGTCAATAACCTATTCTGAATTTGAATAGTGTTGGTTTATAGTCTTATAACACAAAAGGGTAGTATGATTTACCAGCAAACACTGAAGACAAACATCTAGTGACCGGGGTTTAATTTTCCAATCCTTCAGGCCTGAGTGTTTGCTTTTGTACTGTGTGCTGTGCGCTGGCTCTCAGAGGATTCCTGCTAATCTCCAAAGTCGCCAGGTCCATTCCCGGCAGTGTGGCCCAGTGCTGCAGTAAAGCCCGAGTAAGAAGGTGGGACCCCAGCAACCCAGACTGCATCATAATAATGAACTCTGGAATGCAGAAGTGGAGGTGGGAGGACAGGAGAGGGCACTAAACCTGCTGGGAGAATTCAGCTTTCAAACACAAGGTCAATATCTTAAGCTTTAACAAAAGAAAGGTAATTAGAGCAACCAAAACTGGAGAGAGGAGAGGGATGAGCATATTATTAAAAAATGCTGATCCCCTAACCTCTCAAAGCAGGTGAATCAGTACTGGTGTCTGTCCAAAATGGAAGCAAGAGTCACAAACAGCCCAACCCAATCTGGAAGAGCTCCACACCCCTCTCCTCTCGGCCTCACAGAGCTCTTCTGGGCACTAGTAGCTTTTGTGAGGAAGCAACAATGATTCCAAGTTCAACAACTCCATTGGTTCGTGGAATTTCTCTATGTTCCTAGTTAAATTCAAATAAAATTCATATTCTACACATTTTACTCTTTGAAAAATAGCATGTGTAGGGCTGGGGGCCTGGCTCAAGGAATACAGTGCCTGCCTAGCTAGCAAGCACTTGGTCCTGAATTCAAATCCCAGTACAACCAAAAACCAAAACAAAAATAGCATGTGTCGTGCAACTCCATGTCTTCCTGAGGGTGTATCTACAGATGCCTGTTCAGGCCTTCACGTGTGCATAAGCAGGCGCGGGGAGAAGCTGGGATGGCTGGACACACGTTCGCACCGATTATTCTAGATGGTGAGAGGGGCTTATTGCATTTTTTTCTTTATACTTTTCCATATTGCTTGAGTTTCTGAAAATGAATTTTCTTATTTTAAAAAAAATCAACTAAGTCATTTCTCTCTCTTCTTTTTTTTATTTACTTCTTTTTTTGGTTGTACGGGCAAACAAACTTAGGGCTTAAGTCCCCGAGTTGTTTCTCTTAAAAAATGAGAGTAGCATAACAGAGTGGCAGAGACAGGAGGAAGATCATGGCTCAAGGCCAGTCTTGCAAAAGCATGAGACCTATCCAAAAGACAAAACCAAAACCAAACAGAGTAGGGGCATGGTTCAAATGTGCATGCTTGGCTGGTTCAGAGCCCTCAGTTCAATCCCTGGTACTATAAAAAATTTAATTCTTTTTTAAAAAATAAGGGAATCACATAGCAGGGCACCAGTGGCTCACACTTGTAATCCTAGCTACTCAGGAGGCAGAGATCAGCAGGATCGCAGTTCAAAGCCAGTCAGGGCAAATAGCACTCAGGAGGCTCATGAGTTCAAGGCCAGTCTAGGCTACATAGTGAGGTCCTGTCCCGAAATAAATAAATAACAGATCCCTCCAAAACCCACTCAAATACATGGGACGGCACCTGATATGTGTTCTCCTAAGACTTCAGAGTTAATTTTCCAGAAAGGCGTCCTGTGGCATGCAAACAATTCTCCCTGACAGGAAGCTGTCCTGACCTGGCCTCTCTCAGCTCCCCTGCTCCTCCCTGAGAAGGCAGGTGATGCTTTGCAGGTGGGAAAGTGAATCAAGCAGCATTAATACCCCTAGGGCACAGCCAGCAAATAAAGCCATGGAGGAAGTACAGCTATGATGAGAGAGTCACACTAAGCCCAAGGGAGCACCCTCCTGAAGCTTGAGGGGTAGGGAAGGTTACAGCCATTCTGGGGTAGGCCTAAGAGTATGCAGGCCCTGTGGGGAAATCACTACAGCTGGTGGGAAACTCACATCCATCTTGGAAACGAGCAGCAGCTGCTGTTTGATGCGCAGGAAGACGGAATCAAAGGCCAGCTGCTGGGCCTGCTGGTTAAGGCGAGTCAGGGCGGCCCTGGACGGAGCCAGCAGGGTGTGATTACTGCACCCTTTCTCCTTAGACAAGAAAAACACAAAGCACTTTGTTAGCCCCAACCGAAGGTTATCAGCTCATCAAACGGGTTGAAAAATCACCGAGCGGAAAATGGGGGGAAGGCCCTCTATAGAAGAGTGGTTCCCAAGCCTGGCTGCACCCTGGGCCCCCGGACAAACAGGCTGAACGACAGACTCTCACTCTCTAACCAGAACACTGACTCCACAAGGGCTAGAGCCTCGGAATCTATAAATTCACTTTCCCAGGTGCTTCTGATGCATTTGACCTAATCTGAGCTCCAGATTGGTGGTTTAGGAAAACAACCTGTGACCATCCCTTGGCAACAGAGGAGCCAGAAAGTTGAGAAGCCTCACATATAGACAAGAGTGACTCCCAGGAGGTCAGGTCAATACCCTTGGCTGAAAACCAGAGTACATACAGCCATGTGAGTCCCAAGGCATCCCAAACAGCCTGAGAAAATACAGAGATGGAAAATGTAACCTTAGTTTTGCTAATATAAATGAACTGATTACAACAGACATAAAGCAGATTAGCAATAAAGATAAAACAGTTGCTTTAACTTAATCTCAGAAGCATGGATGAATGAGTTTATAGAACAGCTCCAAGAAGTGTGTTTGTCAAGCTTAAATACAGTCAGTTGGTGGGCCCAGGTTGAGACAGGAGACCCTAAGAAGACACACTGGGCCTCAGATGTGGCCAGGCTCACTGTCCAGCTCATCCCCAGAGCTTGAGGACAGTCAGGAGAATTGTAGGTTGCATCTCCAAGAGAGTAAGGGTCAGACCAAACCAGGAAGGAGGGAACGGGCTCTGCAATGGATGCCCTCTTTCCACCCTGAGGGCCATGCCCGGGGGCTGTGTGACTCACTCCAGTTGTTGGGAAGTTCTCCTGCTTCTGGACCTGAAGGGCACAAAGCTCAAAGTCAAGGGCAGCTTTATAGAAGACAAACCAAGCTGCAAGACAAATCAGGGGGACTTGACCCCCGGGGACACACATTCCCTGTGGAGGCGCTCGCACTATAGGGAACTCCTTGTCCTGAGGAGTAACTTCTCCAACTGCAGATTTAGGGGTCCTCTTACAGGTTCTGCCTGCTTGCAGGCAGTACATATCTGGTCCCGTCTGGCACCCAGTAAAGGGCATTGTCCCTGCATAGGGGCCAGGGACTCCTAACCCCACCCATCCCGTGGATAAGCTTAATTGTGGAGTGAAGTACAAACCTCTGAAGCCACAGGTCTGAAGTCACATTCTCCAACCTGGCTTTTATCAGTAATAAACACCACCAATCCCGACCCAGACATGGTGTTACTGGCCTGTAATCTCAGCAACTCAGGAGGCTGAGGCAACAGGATCAGAAGTTTGAGGCTAGCTACACAGTGAAACCCTCTTTCAAACAAACAAAAAGACCCAGCTAACCACTCCTACAGCCACTCTCAGTGGGTTTTAGTCCAGTTTAGTTTATTAGCTCCCTAGAACCCCAATAGAAATGAGACAGAAAGTAAGTGGTGGCAGGCCATGCCCAGGCCCACACAGGGCCAGAAAGTCTGCAAACTGGAGAGAGTGAGTGGAGAGAAAAGCTTTTGTGTACAGGAATGGCATCCATCTGTTCTCATACCTTGAGGGTATAAAGTATTTCCATTAAACTGGCATATTCGGCAGGGCTGTCTTTCTGGAGGTAATTATATTCCTGCCATGGGTTCCTGGCAGAGCTCTTCTTATCTGTCAGAATGCTATCCTGAAAGCCAGCCAGGCTCCGAGGGCTGTAGGAGTCACACAGATACTTCCCAGCGGTGGACAAAATCCTGCAATGGAAGTGATGGCTATTACGTCCCAAAGCTGTTTATGGGGTTTCTTCTTACCAAATTACAGGGGATCCTCACTAGGCAGTTTATAAGGAAATGAAGCCATTCCTCATCATTTTAGGAGCTGTCCCCCAGGTACACAACAAATCAGGTATCCTTTTATCCTAGATAACACCCCTGTCTCTGGAAGATGATGTCTTCCCAATGTGACAGGCAGACAGCCTCCCCCAGGGCAGCTCTCAGTCCACTACCACCTGGGACACTGTGTGCTTTCTAGGCAGATATTTCTGGCTATATGAGCATCATGGTGTGAAACCGTCAGATGCCAGGGTGAGTCACTGCAGACCGCAAGGCAGGGCAGGAGGCCTGTTGGCTCTGGAGAATGGGGACAGCAGCTGGTCACATGCCTCTCTACCTGCAGGTCATCTTTCTTTATAACAACCATGGCAACTCATACTCTAACACTGGGTTCCCAAACCCAGACTCTCCACTTGAACTGTCCGACAGAGACCTTTTGCTGGTGAAAATAGAGATGCTCTTAGACTGACAATGAGGTTATAGACCAATAAACCTCTCCTAACTGAAAATTTGTAGTTCAAATGCATTTGATACATCCAACCTACTAGACATCACAGCTCAGCCACAGAGCACACTGTAAAGCACCAGCTGTTCCCTGGGTAATGTCGGGGCAGACGGAAGCTGTGGCTGGCTGCCACGGCCCAGCAACAGGATAAAGAGGATTGTAGCATGGAAATTGCTAGCCAGCAAAGATCAAAGTACGGTTGCTTTCTCCTGAGTGTGTATCCTTTTTGCCACCGTCAAGCTGAAAATCACAAGCAGGACCATCAGAGCATGGGGCCACTTGTACCAGCGCTCCAAAAGTAGGTGGTGGGCACCAGAAAAGTCCTGAGAAGCCAAGGCAGTTTCCCTGCAGCTCGCCCAAGTTGCCCACGAGAGAAATCTCTCAGGTGACACCCAGCCCAGCTGGCTCTACTCAGCCTGTAAATCACAAAACTGCCCCTTCTGCAGAGCCCGAGAGCCAGTGCCAGCCTTATCATGAAGCCGTCTGCAGCTCTGAGCCACCGCCTGCCCAAGGGGGGTGGGGAGTGGTCCTGGTAGAAGTCTGGGTTCTGCAGGTAGATTGATGGAGAGATAAGATAAGCTTTACAGGTGGCTGTCACACACACTGTGTGTGTCCCAGAGAGGAACACAGTGGTGACTGTCCCTTTCCAGGCTCAGTGCTTCCAGGATGACATCACCTCTTTCTGAGGCTGCCTTGGGCACACCTAAGCTGCTGTTTCTCACTGCAAAGTGCAGCTGGAGAGGCTCATCCCGCAACCATCATTGTCCCCACTCAACCTCCTGCCAGATCCTTCCCAATAGAAAACCTGTGTCCCGATGAGGAAAGATGTCTGATAAAGACACTCAGAGCAATGCCTGTCTGAAGGTAGGCCTCATCTGTGAGAAAGGGCAGCACGGGGGATAAAACTTACACTCTGGTAACTCGAGTGACACTACGGTTCAAGTCAGTGCCTCTCAGGCACAGCTGTCTCTGTAAACTCTTCTTTCTTTTTTCTCTTTTTTATCTACAAGACTATCACCTATGACCTCAGTGGCCCATTATCAGTAACCATGGGATAAAAGAGTACCTACCTCTCCAGCCACTGGGGGGATTAATGCCTGAATTCACGTGCAGTCCTTCATGTCAGAGCTCAATAAATGTTACAGAGCTGGGGAAGGAGACTGTAAACGAGGCTTTTTCCATGGAGAAGGATGCTTAAGGTGAGTAGATTTTCAGGTTTTATTTTGTGTACTTGTGAACTGGTTCAATTTGGTGTGATGAACAACTAGCATGATTAAGAAAACGTAAAATGTGCACGCATTTCTTTCCTTTTCTTTTTCTTTTTTTTTTTTTTTGAGATAAGGTCTCACCATGATTTATTTTAACTTTGGAAGTGCTGAGTCTTCACCTCCTCTTAAGCACCTTCCATGGCTAACCCAGACCTACCTGCCTTGGCCAGATGTTCTCAGTGTGCACATGTGTGTGTCTGGAACAGCAGCGCCCTTGGCTTAGTCTATATTATTTATACACATTCCACTGTATGTCTGTGCTGCATTGGCTTTGGTCACAAGAAAAAGTCACCTTGTTTCTGTGCTCAGCTCCTGGGGAGTCATGGCAGTGACAGCTGCCCCCATTCTACCCTGCTGTAAGACTTGGGCCATAATAAGAGCCACCAAGAAAAATTTTGCACTTGAAGACAGTTGGTGGGCTGAGAAATGAAGGAAGGTAAAGTGTTGTGACAAGTCACAGGCAACAGAGTACAGGCTCCAAGGCCAGTCTGACCATCCTGCTCCCATAGGGCCTCAGCTTTTATTTCACCTGGTCCCAAATTCCAAGAGAGTACTTTAGGACAGAGAAGAGCCACCTGAGGAGGGTCAAGGACTACTGCTAGTCCCTCAAACAAGAAGCTGGTAGAAGCCCAGTGTGGTGGCACATGCCTTTAGCCCAATATTCAGGAGGCTCAAGCGACAGGATTAAGAATTTAAGGGTGGCCTGGGCTACATAGCAAGACCTTGTCTCAAAAAAAGAAGTCTGTTTTACATAGACTTTTTTTCTTCCCCTTGACTCCTAAAGACTAGAGAAATCAGCCTTACCAAGGGAATGAGTGATTTAGCTGAAAGGAAGAATCAAATTTGGGCCGGGTCCCAGTGGCTCATGCCTATAATCCTAGCTACTCGGGAGGCAGAGATCAGAAGATCACGGTTTGAAGCCAGCCTGGGCAAATAGTTCGAGAGACCCTATCTTGAAAAAACCCATCACAAAAAAGGGCTGGTGGAGTAGCTCAAGGTGTAGGCCTTGAGTTCAAGCCCCAATACTGTAAAAAAAAAATAAATAAATAACCAAACAAAAAACCAAAAAAGAATCAAATTTGGGAACCTGGAACCATCTGAGGGAAAGTGGTCTGAGTGAGGCATCTCGGGGCCACATGAAGGCCCTGGTAGTATAAGAGGATGGGGGACAAAACAGACTTCTAGAGAGACCCCAGATTTCCCCTGGGACACACCCCTCTTGGCAGCATGGAGTTCTCTGCTGACAGGAATGCAGCTGTCTAGGTTCATCCTGATTCTGTGAGCTGGCCTGGGGGCCTTAATCACCACTTGTAACACTGTTTCTATGGGGAAATTTATTTGAAGACCAATAACTGACTTACAGTCAGCAGGAACCCAGCCCATCTATAATTTGGAAACAGTATGTACTGTTTCCTCATTTAGGCTGGGACCTCCATATCTAACCAAATTTATGTGACCACTGCCAAGTAGGACAGAGCCTTGCCCTTTTTAGGTGCTCAATAAATGTTTAATGATGACAGTAATGACACCTTGTATCTAGGCACAGACAGTTCTCCGGCCCTGCCCTGTGGCTTTCAGATTTGACCATATTGTTGCCCTTGCAAAGCACTAAGTTCCTTTCAGCCAAGAACCCCCTCCCCCTTGCCCCCCTCCCCCCCCCCACATACCCTCTCTTACCTGTTTGCAAGCTGCTGCTCAAAGTCCCCACACTGCCTCAAGAGCTCTCCACAGGTGGCTATGACCCTAAACAAAACAAAAAGCACTTCAAGTTCAAGAGCCTGGAATGCCAACATTTACAGGACAAACACTGCCTCATTCATAAAAATTCTAACTATTCACTCCTTTTGTTGGTGCTGGGTTCTGGAAAGGTTGTTAACCATTTGCTTGCCTACTTGAAATGTTCCATTACTAAAATGATTAATTAATTAGTAATTAATGCTAATATCCTCTATGACATGTCACTAGTAACTCTCTGTGAATCACAATTCTATCCAGTGCCACCTCAAATAATTTTACATTTCCAACATACTGGGCTTTGCCTTTGAGAAAATGGGCTGGAATTACTTTTTTTTGGCACTCTACCACTTGAACCACACCTCCTTTTGTACTTAAATTTTTAAGACAAAATATATTTACTTATTTGTTAGATGCTTGCTATTTACAAGGCATAGAAAAGGGTCTTGATACTGGAAGTGCCTATCTCCTTGTGATCACATGAAAGGCAGAGGGAGGTCAACCTGAGTGATCGTCATATTTAATATTCCAGTAATTTTATGCCAGGCCTCAAACTCCAACTCCTGAGTCCTTCAACACTAAACTCATAATGCCAGGACAAATCCAGGATTAAAAATATCTTCGGTTTAGTTAACACTTAACTCTCTCTAAAAGGACCTGTCATCACCAAGGTATCCAGGCATTCCATCATAAGAAAGGTTTATGAAAAAGTAAAACATTCCACTTGCCTCAGGCCACAGAGGAAGCCTGTGCAGAGTATTTTCCAGAATGCCAGTGACAAGGGATAGCATCCACAACATTAAGTTCATAAAAAAATAAAAGTCCAGAATGGAGTCCATGAACAGATAATCCAAAATGGGCCTGGGCCCACATGACAGCCTTCAGTGGGTCTGGCTGCCACACTGAGCTGCACATGACACACATGGACACCAAGGCAGGGTCAGGCAAAAAATATGCGTGAAGTAGGCTAGGTGAAGAGCAGCTTATCTCTTTGGAATGTATACCCATGAAGCATGGCTCTGAAGAAAAGAAATTTCTAGATTTCCTTTTATCCCAGTTGGATAGTATAGTTGTTAGGCCACCTGGGAGCAGAGGAACAAAGAGAACAGAGAAATGTGCCAGTCTGCCTGGGACCACTCTGATAAACTGTTGACAGTGCTGGGTCAGTTAGGTGAGCTTCCAATTTTTAAGGCAATGTTAAAAATCTGGATTGTATTATATATGGTTCTTAAATGTTCACAACTAGTTCAAAAGTTTTTAAACAGTATGATCAAAAAACATGCCTGGGGCTGGGGGCAGGGCGGGGAAGAGAGGGGGCATGGCTCAAGTGGTAGAGTTCCTAGAACACTGTGAGAGGCCCTAAGTTCAAACCCCTGTACTGAAAAAAAAAAAAAAGTCTGTGGGTTGGACCTGGACATGGGCCAGCAGCCTGTCCACTCTAGCTGGACACACAAAGAGCCAAACCTTCTTGGGCCACTGCGGATCACATTCCCACTAGGCTTTAGGTGACTACCTAATGGCCCACAGGTCACAGGACTGACCCAGAATCTGGTTGTTGACAACTTAAGAGAGTCACTCAGTGCCATTCACTGAAGTCCTATGTGACTCTTTTCAGGCCAAATAGCGTTGCCTTACCATTTAGTACAGTGGGATCAGACCCAGAGACAGGGTCCAAACAGACACACGGTCTCCAACACAGGCTCTCAATTTTAGGTCTATAAAAATTATAGGCTGGGGAGGGGGGTTTCACACCAAAAATGTAAGTCATTAAAGGAGATGAGGCATTCATAACGAACTTTCAGAAAAATATTTCAGAAGGTACAGGAGTCTTTTTGGTGAGCTGGTGGTAATGGTAGCTGGTTTGGTTTTTTATTGGCTTGCTTTTACAATCTAGAGTATTAGCTTTTTGAAAAGGCAGTCAAGAGAAAAATGAATACCTAATAAACCCACTTACTGTCTTTACACACCAGCTTATGTGCAATTCTGCTTACTACATTAGGCATAGGCTTAAAATGCATCCCCACATTACCTGACCGAGTTTTGAAATGCTGTCCAGTCCTCTTGGAAAAGGGAGTTGGGAAGAATATCATCCAGCTTGCACTTCTTCCGTATGGACTGGAGAGCACTGGTGAAATCAGACACGTACCTACAGGAAGGGAATGCAACTCTGGATTCCATAGCTTTCCACAAACCACTAGTGACCTTTAGAACGTCTTTAGAGGCTCCCGTCCCAAACGAGATCACGGATAAACCTCTAACCACAAAAAGCTCTTTTCTGTGGGGCAGCTTTAAGGAGTACTCAAGAAGAGGAGGAATGGGATAGCCAGTTGGTAGACCCCAAGTGACTAACCAGGTGAGAGAAGACACTAGGCTGACTCATTCCCCTCCCCCAACCAATGCATTTCCTTGGAAGCAGGTCTGAAGAACTATTTCAAGACACATGTGAGACAGTTTACCGATACCCAGGGCACTTCTGCAAGCAAATCCCTGACTCCAGATTAAACAGTCACAGCAAACAGATGAAAGCTCAACAGCAGGCAAGGGTCCAACTTCATCTACACAGGAGCATTGACAGTGGGCTCGAAGCCGGAAGGCCCTCCCTCACGGACTGAGCCACTTGCTCTTGCTAGGCACACACATTTTCTCTCACGCACCTGCCACACTAGACTCAAAGAGCTTGTCTGGAGCATACTGTGCTGGGCATAAAGGAGACACAGGAAACGGTCCCCGAATGGATGCCAGATTTACAGCACAGCTTTGGGCCTCAGTGTCTTTGGATCTCAGTCCTCTCAACTTTGAAATGGATTTAATGTCTTCTTACATCACAGAGGTGTTGTGGTGATAAAATTGCGTAAAGGAAGTACAATACGTCCTCAGAAAAGCAGAAAATGAAATTTGATTTGGAGGGGGTGGGTTAAGGACGTAAGCTTTGTGGAACATGAACACGTGTGTGCGTGTCCTCGGGAGGGCACGCTGAGGAGGAGGAAGAAAGAAGTCACGTCCTCTGCATCACAAGAAACTTACCTCCCTCCTTCCTAAACCAAAAACCTGACAAGTAAGTCTGTGTAGGAGAGAGAAAGGCAGTCAAAGGATCCAGCAGAAGACATGACCTTGGCACTACCCACAATTGAAAGTGACACTCATGCTCTCTTTCCAGGGTCCCTCGGGCTTTGAGGCAGAGTCTGTGACACCAAAATTCCAGATTGCGCCCTCCTTTCCCACCCAGAGGGATAACAGCTTTCTTACTTGTTGGGGAGCAAGCTGGAGAGGAGTGTTAGGAACACAGCTATGCTGTAGCTGTGGGAGGCTAAACAACTGTTCTGCCACCCTGGAATGAAGACAAGCATGTGTAAACACATCTGTCCACTACCAAGCCCAGCTCTGCAGAGCCCTGAGACAGACCCTGGGAGGCTGAGCAGGCGATAGTTCATTACCCTCCAATCCAGAGGGCAGAGGTGTAGCTTTTACCACAGAGATTTTGTCTTCAAACTCTCTGACCCTCTCTCACAATACACATTTCCAAGGGTCTGCCACCTGAGAATCTGCTGTGAGGGACTTTAGCTACACTAAGCTTTTGCTGAATAGACACAACCACCATGGAAAGGAGGTAAAACTGTCATCAGTTTACTCAGAAGACATGGGGACTGTCAGGAGCAGTGACCAGCCAAGATCCTTATTCGTTGGTGGAAGGGCCAGTACCTGAGTCCTAGCTAGGCCAAGCCCAAAGCCCTCATGCCCCTGCTGTGGAGCCCTTTACTGTTGCGCTGCCTTTGTGGCTACTGTAGTCTGCAGCTGCCCAGAGCTCAGGTCAGGCCCACCTGCTCCTCCTCCCCAGCCCTGCCTTCCTCAGTGCCCTTGTGAAGCACTCCTCAGCTGGAGCAGGGTGAGTCTGCTAGGGTCAGCTTCAACACAACTTCCCCAAGTAACTATATTATGTATTACCAACTCTTCTGGTAATTTCCAAATCTTCCCTTCCAGAGAAAGTCACCTGATTCTACCACACATCCTTGTACACCGTTTAAATTTTTAATATGGATATATTAGTTTTAAAACAAAGTAATTGAAATGATGAACAGAAGAACTAAAAGTAAAAGTCTAAGTAACAAGAGTTCAGAGAAGCAAGACGAAAAGAACAGCCTTAAGAAAACTCAAGACCTGCTGGGAGTGGGGCTCAGCGGTACACTGGCCACTGGCCGGGATGTACGAGGCCCTGGATTCCATCCCCAGCCCGAAAAAAAGAAAAAAGCAAGCAAGCTCAAGTCCTCACCTTTCAATCTGCAGAGATGGGAGAAAATATTTCAAATTGATAAAGAAAAGGTATTCCTTAAAATTTGAAGAGAAGAATGAGAAAGCTAAAAGCAAGATGCTTTTGAGGAGAGAATTAAAAGTAGGTAGGAAGGAGGAAATTTTCACGTCTTTTCATATGGGGAGGGGATTACTTTTCAAAGCATTATTTCTATTTTACAATAAACATTTTAGTTCTCAAAAAAAAAAAAAAAAAAAGTGTGGGCTAGGGGTGTGGTTCAAGGGTAGAGGGCTTTGTCTAGCATGTGTGAGGCCCTGGGTACAATCCCAGTACCACCAAAAAAAAAAAGGAAGAGCTGACCTGTAATCCCAGTTTCTTGGAAGATTGAGGCAGCAGGATCTCAAATTCGAGCCCAGCTGGGGCAGAGTTAGCAATCCTATCTCAAAACTAAAACATAAACGAAAGGGCTAAGCCTGGGACTACAGAGGTAAAGCGCAGGCTCTACATATGCAAGACTTTGGGTTCAAGCCCCAGTACCTCTCCCCCAAAACTGCTTTCCACCTAGAAAATCTGCTGGTGGCAGAGGGGAAACTCATGCTCCTGCTGTTTCCATGGGACACATCTGGGTTCAGAGCTGCCTGGGGGGGTGCCAAGGCCACCTGGAGATCTGGGACATCCCTTGGAAGCTCCCAGGACAAGCTGGAAAAGCCTGGAATGACAAGAGCTCCCCACACTTCCTACAGAAAAGCAGCACTGGGTTCAGCAAAGGGCAACCCCACTGTGGACAGACTGCCAAGGGAGGTCCCCAGAGGGTACAAGAATGTATTTGTCTGCGAACCACAGGCATGGGGCACCAGTGCAGCCTGACATCCCGAGGCCCTATGCCTCATGACACAGGTCAGAGGACCCAGCCTTACTTACACCTCTTTCTAGTCCTCTGACTAGACTTTAGTTTTGACTTTAGTACTAGGGCTTCAACCCAGGGCCTCACCATGCTAAGCACACTCTCCACAGCTGAGCTGCTCCCCACCCCTTTGGAAACTACCATCCCCCTCTCTTCTTTTTTTTTTTTTTTTTTTTTTTATTTTATTCAGATGTGCATACAATGTTTGGGTCATTTCTCCCCGCTTCCCCCCGCCCCGTTCCCTCCCTTACCCGCCCCCTTCTAATTTCCCCAAGCTTCAACAACCACAAATCTGGTTTATTTCTCTATAAATTTTCCTGCTCTGGACATTTCATATAGATGGAATTACACAACATGTGGTCTTTTGTGACTGGCTTCTTTTACTCAACACGATGTTTACATTGTTTTTTATTTTACATTTTTAAATTTTATTTTCCACATGTTAATTTATGCTCATTGATTTAAAAGAAATAAATAAAAACAAGTAAAGCTAACTCCCTGGACCACCGTCCCTATCCTTCTCCACATCCCAAGAGATAACCACTGCTTTGATTTCACTGCCTTATCTGGGGTTCAGCAAACTTTCTGTTAAGGTCCATATAGTAAGGATATTTGAACTTCTGAGTCACAAGTCTGCCTTCCTTGTGGGAAGGAGTCATAGGCCGCAGGTAAGGGAACAGGTATGGCTGCGTTCCAATAAAACTTTATAAAAAAACTGATGGCAGTCGACATTTCACTTGTGAGCTGTAGTTTACCCACTATTACTCTACAGGAATATGTAATTCTTTAAAAAAAAAAAAAAAAAAGGCCTAGTGCAATGATGCACACCTATACTACCAGTGCTCTGGAGGTTGAGGCAGAATTACAAGTTTGAGGCCAGCCAGCCAGGACTATAGAGCAAGACCCTGTCTCAGAAAAAAAGGACCTAGGACAGGTTTGGCCTTCCTGGGATTTAACTTTTTATAAATAAACTTTTACTGGAACATAACCACACCCATTCACTTATGCATCCTCTATGACTGCTTTTGTGTTACAAAGGCAGAGTGTTACAAACGTCCCTATTGCAACAGTGTGGGGCCGCAAAGACTAAAATACCTGTCGTCTTCCTCTTTGCAGAAAGTCTGCTGAATCTTGCTTTAGAAAACCTACCTGATTTTTGTAGGTTCTTTTTACAACATATATTAGACTTGCCTTTTTTCACTCGATGATTTTGAGCTCTATCCCTGTGCCTAGGTGCAGGGGTTCCCTCACATAAATATACCCTATTTTGTTTCCCATTGCTAATCCACAGACATTCACATTGCTGCAAATGCTTCCCTCTATAGTCATGCTAGAGGCACATCTTTAGGAACATCCTTGGGCTCCTGGGCAGGGGGTTTTCCAGGGCACAGCAGGAATACAGACCACATGTGTTTAACTGAGAAAGACACTGCCATCCAATACAGCCACCCCTGTCCTCACTTCCCCAGCCTTACTTGGCAAAGAGGGATTTCAGGGCTGTCAGCAGGCCACAGGCCCCCAGGCCATTGGTGAGTCTGGCACATCTGTCCACAGCTGCAGACGCCAGGCCAAAGAGCTTGTTCACAGAGTGGCTCAGCTCCTGCACACAGTCAATCACCTCCCCGTGCTCCTGGGCAGCAGATGACAGCAACAGGAAGCCATGTCAGACTCCAGAACCGTGGGACAAATGACATTAAGATGGGGGAGACCTCTAAGAGGGACATCAACAATATTGTCCCCAACTGACAGCTCTTCTAGAACCAGAAGTGAGGAGGGACAGTCCATGTGGTCAGTGACACAACAGAAACTAACTCCCCTCAGAAAAGCATGGCCAAAGTGCATGCTTTTCATTTCTTCCCTCTTTTTCTGTGATTATTACAATAGTACTTCTCCCTGCAGCTCTCAAACGGATTCAAATTCCCCATACCAGAAGGTGGCAGAAGGAAAACGCTTCCTTCCAGGCAAGAACGTAACTGAAGCAGAACAGACTTTCTAGGTACGTCCCTGGAAAATAGGAAAATGGCAAGAGGCAGCAGACTTGAACGATTGTGAGATCAAAGTTTACATGGCAACTCGCCTCATGCTTAGGCAACCTTAAATGGTCTAGAATGAAGATGGCCTCAGCCCCTCTGCTGCCCAGTGAAACTGCCCCCAGCACTGTCCATGGACACTAAGCTCCTGGGTACTTTTGCATATTTCCCCTAAACTAACGGCCTTCTTAGTAAGAAATTACTAAGTCAGACAGATAGAAAACTTACCCCCAAAAGGTTATGCCTCTCATTTTGCTAGATGTCTAGTGGGCATTTTAAATGGAAGATTGGTACCACATTTGTGGATCTTGTTTTACTTGGATTGATAGAGCCCACGAAGCATTTAAATGCACCCCCCCTTTTTGTCACACTTGGTCCCACTATCCCGCCAGATTGTGGCCAAGAGCCTGGCACACAGACAATGCCCCCTAAATGGTCAGCAGTCATTACCAAAGGCACGGAGCTGATCTGGATGAGGAGGTTGCTCTCTTCCATGTGGCCGTACTTCAGTTGGTAGGGTTTGTAAGGACCATACACAGCATCCACCAGCTCCGTGACTTTCACTAGGTTGTGCTCATCTGTAAGGCATCAGAGTTAAAAACAATGATGAAAATAAATAACTAAAAACAATGATGAACAGCGAATTAGAAGCTAGGTGTTGGGAAGCAGCAGGCAAGAGGCACTCTGCTAGAACTTCCGTTCAGTCTTCAGGTGAGTACAGTTTTTGTTAATCTGGATTTTTATGGCTCATGGGAGCATCTGTGATCATCACTTTCACAAATATCTGCATACATTTTGGCTTTTTTGCATTGTCTACTCAAAGCACTTAATTGAAGACTCCAACTCCTTTAGCCCCCACCCGTGACGGCTGAGATCCCTTCAAATGAAAATTCTTATCAGAGCCTGGCTCACACCTGTAATCCTAGCTATTCAGGAGGCAGAGATCAGGAGAATCATGCTTTGAAGCCAGCCCGAGGCAAATAGTTCCAAAGACCCTATCTCAAAAAAGAAAAAAAATCCATCACAAAAACAGGCTGGTGGAGTCGCTCAAGGTGTAGGCCCTGAGTTCAAGCCCCAGTACTGTAAAAAGAAAGAAAGAAAATTCTTATCAGGGTCAGGTTGAAGAGTGGTATATACCTATAATTCCAGCTAGTTGGAAGGTGGAGATTGGAAGGATCAACATACAAGGCCAGCCCAGCCAAGTTAGTGAGACCTCATCTCAACCAATAAGCCAGACGTAGTGGTGTGCACCTGTCATCTGAGCTATACAGGAGGCATAAATAGGTGAATCACAGTGTGGGTCTGTATAGGCAAAAACACAAGACCCTATTTGAAAAACAACCTAAAGCAAGAAAGGCTAGAGGTTTGGCTCAAGTGGTAGAGCACCTGCCTAGCAAGCTCAAGGCCCTGTGTTCAAACCCCAATATGACAAAAAAGAAAGAGAGAGAGAGAGAGAGAGATGCTGCTACAGAGAAAAAGGTCTGTAGGAAGCCCATCTTCCACCTCAAGTGTGCACAGGACTTAACACAAACAGGACAGCCCATCACCAGGCACTCCCTACACTTCCTATATTCAGTTACACACAAATTTTAAACAGGTTTGTATCCAAAATGTCAATGTGCCCATTCTATGGCCAGCACTTCAACTTCTAAGACTTACCCCTAAGCAGTCGAGTGTGCACATAACATGCAAACCTGCCAGGGTCAAGAGTTTTAGAAAATATGTGACAGGCGGCGCGGGTTGAGGGGGAGCAGTAAAGATAACAGCCTGATGACCCTCTCACCTCCTCTGGTCCCCTCCAATCTGTCCTCCACGCTGAAGCCAGGTAAGTCTCTCCCAACGGACACCTGACCACATTATACCCTACTTGCAACTTTTCTGTGAAACCCGTAACGTCCAAATCTTCTTGATAGTGTGAATGGCCCCTTCCAGTTTAGCATCCTCAGAACTGTCCACACTTACTTGACCTTGAACTTGGATGTCTCCTGTAAAAGGCTCCTGTTTCTGCTCGTGTTTTAAGTGGTATCAGCTACTGCAGGCACGAGGATGCTTTTGCTTGATTCAGTTTGTTGTGACCCTTCCATTTCATATGAAACTAAGTATACTGCTGTACTTTTAAGCTTTCAAAACAGTGTTTTAAGATCACATTGTTTTTATTTTTTAGCTGTTCCTAATTTTGTGTATAAATTTGTTTTATAACCAATAAAAAAAAACCCTGCTACCAAATTAAAAAAAAAAAAAGAGTGAAGACCATGACTGTGAGAAAATGACTAAACTTTTTAATGTGGTTTTCCAAATCGCTAAGATAAGGCTGAAAAGGCAACAGTTGTACAAGGCTCCTGTGGCGATCAGGTAAAATCACGTGTCTAGCCCATAGTAAGCACTCAACAGGCACTAGCTATTTTCACCAGGACTTCTGCAGCCTCATCCTTCTTCACTCCTCCCCTAGTCTCCAGCTTGGCCTCAGTTCTAAAAACACCATGCTCCTTTCTGGTCCCATGCCGAGTCTTTTCTGGAAGAGCCTCTTCATCAACCCAACTCAGCCCTCCCTCTCTTTCTCCAATACTATACTCAGTGGAATTCTGTGCCTCCATTACCTATCTTTGTTTGCATATGCTCAGAACCCTTAGCTTGTCTTCAAAGGACTTCCCTCACTTTGTAACTGTACATTCATTAGTGCGATTATTCAATTATCCCACTGAAATACACATTGTATGAGAGCAGGGACCTCATCTTGTTCAACATTGCAATCTCTGCACCCAGAACTCCAGAACAACTCCATTTGCAGTTGAATGAATAAATTAAATATATTTTGTCCTATTCAGAATGCAGTCATGAGGAGCTAGGAGTGTGGTTCAAGTGGTAGAGAGTCTACCTAGCTAAGCACAAGCCCTGAGTTCCAACCCCAGTACTACCAAATAAAAATAATAAAAAAAACCCTCCAGAAGGCAGTCATGAAAAATGGCATAAATAATAATACATAATTGCATATTATATTGTACGTTACATATAATATGTATGTATCATATATATATATACTTACACCTGGGATTACAGGTAGAAGCCACCACACCCAGTTTAATCTGGCAATTTTTAAACATATGTATCTCTAAGCTGGAGGAGTGGTTGAAGTGGTAACAGTGCCTGCTAGCAAACATGAGGCCCTGAGTTCAAACCCCAATACTGCCAAAAAAAAAAAAAAAAAAAAGCCAGGCTCACACCTGCAATCCTAGCTACTTAGGGGGCAGAGATCAGGAGGATCACGGTTCAAAGCCAACCTGGGCAAATAGTGTGGGAGACCCTATCTTTAAAAAAAAAACCGTCACAAAAAAGGGGCTGGTGGAGTGGCTCAAGATGTAGGTACTGAAGTTCAAACCCCAACATGACAAAAAAAAAATGTATTTCCTAGTACTGCCCACCTGAAAAGCTTAGAAGTAATGGTTCCTCAGCAACAGTGACCACCTCTGGTGCCAGATCTTGGACTCTATACACCATTTCCCAGTAAAAGAACCCAGACTCCCTGGGAAAATGGCTGATTTTAGGTCTGCAGGTGGGGATACAAGATGTTCCTGGAGTATTTTGTACCAAAAAGTAAGGATGTGCTCAAAGATTGATAGGGTTGTTTGTTTTAGAAGCATACATACTAAAAGGACACTGAAAGGATGACACACATATTCGTGAGCTGTTCCATATAAACAAACAAACAAAAAGACTGACAGGGACATGTCAAAAGGTATATGAGGGACTGGAAATGCAGTTCAGTGCTTGTCTACAATGCCCTGGGTTTAATCCCCAGCACTGTGATAATTTTTTTAAAGGCCTAAGAGGCAGCAACCATAATCCAAATGTGAAATAATTTGGACATCATAACGAATAATAATAATGGATCATAACACATTCAATCAAAAAAAAAAAAAAAAACACCCCACTGGGTGTGGTGGCTCATGCCTATAATTCCAGCACCTGGGAGGTAGAGATGGGAGGATTTCAAGTACTAGGTCAGCCTGAGCTACACAGCAAGATCCTGTCTCAAAACCTAATAAATAATAAATAAATACACAAACAGGAAAAAAGGAACATCTTTCCTTTACAAAAGAATGTTAGCAAATAAATGTAGGCAAAATGATAGAATTAGAAATCACCATTTTATAATGAGCAATGTAAGTTTGTTCAGGCAAGGAGTAGTGATGGATGCAGGCCCTGGAAATGTTGCTTGGGGGTGGTACATTCCTGGGAGTGCATAGTGTCACCCCACAGATTTCTTCACGGTTACAAAAGGAAAAGGTAAGGACAATGGAGAGTGATTAATACCGCAATGGCCAACAGGTAGACAGTGCGTGCCTCCTGATATGATGCAAGGGGAGGCGTGCATCAGCATCAATGAGGTATTTCTGCCAGAAACCTCTGCTGTAAATCTAGTCATGAGGAAAGCATGGGCAACTTGAGAATGTGGGGTATGCTGCAAAAACACACTGCCGTCTTCGTCTCAGACGTCACTGCCATGAAAGACTAAAGGAAGATGAAATGACTGCTTATATTAGGAGATTAGTATTTGGCAGGACAACCAAATGCAAGGCACGAATGTTAACTGGACCCCAGAAGGAGACACAGGTGGGGAGCACTCAAGATATCTTATCTGTAGAGCTGGGAAAAGCTGAATGCTGACTGTATAGTAGATGACAATACGGGATCAGTATTAAGTTCTTGGGCATGATAATGGTAACAAAATATTTTATTAAAAACATGTCTAAGGACTGGAGATGTACCTCAGAGGTGGAGCACTTGCCTAGCATGCATAAGGCTCTAGGTTCCATCCTCAGCACTGGAAAAAAAAAAAAAAAAATTCAAATCCCAGCACTTGGGAAGCTGAGTTAGGAGGATCTTGAGTTCAAGTCCAGCCTGAGCCTCACAGTGAGACCCTGTCTCAAAAAACCACATATTTAAGTATAAACACATACACACACTCACATACAACATCTGTACATATATAATCCAAAATGAGAGTTCTGGATGGCAGGTTGAGGCTGCCTTTTTCCTTTCTTGTACTTTCAGGATTTTTCTATAATAAATACATATTATTTCTTGATTATAAAGTCAACCTAGATTTTTTTTTAATTTACTTTTGAGAGACAGGAGGTGCGGCCCAAGTGGTACGAGAACCTGCTTTGCAAGCACAAAGTCCTGAGTTCAACCCCAGCTTCACCAAAAAAAATTAAAAATTTAAAAAATTTACTTTCAAGGACTGGGGGCATGGCTCAAGTGGTAGTGTGCCTGCCTAGCAAGCTCGAGGCCCTGAGTTCAAATCCCAATACTGCAAAAAAAAAAATGTGTAAGATAGTTCATCACTGCCTGGCACCAGTGGCTCACACTGTAATTCAGCTACTTGAAAGAGTGAGGTCAACAGGATGTTCATGCAAAGCCAGCCCAGGCAAATGGTTTGCAAGACCCCATCTCCAACATAAGCAGAGCAAAAACGAACTGGAGATGTGGCTCAATTGGTAGAACGCCTGCTTTGAAAGTATAAAGCCCTGAGTTCAAACCCCAGGCCCTCCCCACACAAAAAAAAGCTTAGAAGACAGTCCATAATGTTTTACCTATCGGGGTTAAAAAATTATAAGTCATGCTATAAAGCAGTCATTAAAAGCCTGGTCTCTAGATAACGTTTAGTGACATAATACTTATTATTTTGAGCAAAAAAAGACTGAATGTCACCAATATTTAAAAACATTTAATATTACATATAACATATTTATGTATTATTTACGTTAGATATAAAATATAGTCTATAGTTATTTTGAGACAGTGACGTAGTGCATGTTAAACGTTATATTAGTGTTTGTGAAATGTATTTACATTTGAGCTACTCGGAAGAAATATAACGGAATGTTGCCAGTGGCTCTCCGAGTGGTAGAAGCTATGGATCAGTTTCATTCCCTTTTTGATTTTTATGTGTTTACAAAGTATTTTTAAATTTAAAAACCCCACTCCTTTGAAAACCCCCACAGGAATTATAAGAAATCCAAACTTGCATGGCTCACTGCAAAGCACCTCCCTGATTCTTCAGGGGGTGGCTCTTGCATCTTCAAGAAAGGCCACCCCCAGCAGGAGGAAGCAACCTGCTCCCTGCCTACCTTTGTCCCACTCTGCCCCAGCAGGATGCACAGGCTGAACATTCTTTAGCACTTCCACCAGGGCAGCACCGTCCCCTGGAAGCTACCCACGTCTGCTGTGCCTCTCCCATCACTGAGGCCTGACCAGTGAGTGTGCCAAAAACACCTATGAGTCATCAGGAACCTGAACAATAAACACACTCCCTGGAATGCCCAGGCAATTAAACACAATGTAATTAAAGAGAATAACTATTAAATAAACGGAGTCAGTGACACACAGCAGCCACATGGCAGAACAAGGCCTTCCTGAAGCAATTTCCTGATTTGACAGCAGCATACGTCACGAGGTACATGTTACTTAAAAGTTTATGATGCTTTTAACATAGATGGAAAACAGCTGGGAAAAGGCACATACCACGCATTGTTTGCCCGGATGGGGCTGAGGAAGGCTTTGCTCCCAGCTGCCCCTGGGAAAGCCCCTTCCCCTAGCCTGGCTCCACTGTCCTGCAATGCCTGCCACTGCCCCTGCAGAGACAGCCTTGGCCTGTGTGTTCTCTGAAACTTGCTTTTTAGGTTGAACTGTCTGAAGTCTGATGACTTGAGAGAAAGAGGAGCTACCCTCCCGGTGGAAGCTGCTGCTAGCTCTCTGCCACCCATGCCTCCTGCCGCGCCTCAGTAAGCCTCTTTCACATTCTGAGCTGCAGCAGACGTGTCCGTCACTGACCCAGGGTATGCCCAGCGCCTAGGCAGCATGGTGACTAGGGAGTATATTAGCACCATTTCCATATTGGCAACGTTTCTCATGTATGTGGAGAAGGAAAACACTGACCCCTCCCACTTCTGTACAACAGTCACCTTAGAAGGCAAACCTAGGCCCCAGAGCCTTTTACTCAGAGTGAGTAAAAGCGAGTAAAGAGAAACTAGAGAGCAAGGGGAGGAGGAATGCGTACATGGATGGGCGAACAGGGCCATCTCCAGCGTCTTGGCGAAGTGGGCAGTGATGTCGTAGAACTCCAGCAGCTTGCTGAGCTCCAGCTCAGGTCCCACCCGCTCCATGCTGGCGCTAAGGCACATGGGCAGGGAGGGCACCAAGGCCCCCAGGGTCTGAATCAGCAGCACCGTCACCACCTCATGGGGGTTCTTGAAAACCTGTAGTGGGAGAGGTATCTGTATTAGCTCATGGAACCCAGCAGGCTCACACCTTTGAAAGAAGGTGGCTCAAAGGAATGCCCCTTGATAGCCAGTCAGGAGCTGCAAGTCCAGGGTCCCTCATGGCAAGCACCTGTAGCTTGTCCACAACAACTAGCGACTTCACGTCTTTCATGGTTCCCAGGAGCCTACTATTTTCAAATCTATGCATGCTCCCATGCGTTAGATGGTCACTGGAAACAGACTGGAGAGGACTCTGAAGATGACCCTGGAGAAGTTGATGAGCAACAGATGTAACGAAGAGTAAGTCACTGAAGAGAGTAGGAAGGATCTTTACGCAGATCACAGTCTGGCCCCTTGGCACAGATCTGCAGTCCTGATGAATTCTCTTTAGAATCACCAGGAACAGTGACAGTGACCTGACCCATTTACATAGCTTTTTCGCCAGGCTATGTACTTTGGATCTCCTGGGCCAACTTCAATACTGTTCAGTATTCATTCAGAAGGGGATTCTCACACACCCCCAGTGTTCATTAACACACACACATCATGGAATACTACTCAGCCATAAAGAAAAATGAAATCACATCATTTGCAGGAAAATGGATGGAACTGGAGATCATCATGCTGAGCAAGATAAGTCAAGGTCAAAAGGCCAAATACCACACGTTCTTGCTCATTTGTGGAACACAGACCTAGCATGACAATGATGACAATGGGATATGAATGTGAAAGGCCGTCAACAGGAGGGGGAGGAAAGGGTACGGAGGGTGGAGAGGATGGAATTACACTTGTACATATGACAAGAGCAACGTGAAACCCACCAAACACTGCATGAAAGAGGGGGAAGAGAATATA